CATGAAGTAGTTTGCAGATGGGTTTGTGATGTTGGAGGAGTGCTTTTCTTTCAATATTCTTCCCTTAGAGTATTTTTTTTTCCTAGGAAGTACTAGGCCACTAATACAAACAGACTGTGAAGCAAACCTCATAGTACTGTGAAACCACAGAGTCTGGTTTCTGTTTTATGCAAATGAAGAGCTCAACAAAGAGCTTTCATGTTAGTGCTTAGAGCCTGGGAAATCAACCCATGCAACATCTCATAGGAAAAACAGGCCTTTGGCAACTCACAGAGTGACTTTTCATGCATGATCCAGTGTGAGAGCTGGTGGGTCCAGAACTCCCGCTGTGTGCTGCCTCTGTATCCTTCTAGGCCTTCTCAGGGTGGGAGCCAGAGTGCACAGTAAGTGCTCCAACATGAACGTAGGCTTGGGAAGAGAGATGCAGCTTCAGAAAAGGAAATTGATTTGATGCTCCATAAAGTTGAAGGTAAACTAGGTACTATTATTTGGGTCAGATGAGCATCTTGGGTTTGGTGAATAGAAGGTGCTTTGCCTCCGAGTTAGTGGAGTGGACAAAACGCCAACAGGTTTTCTGTCTCTGACCCTTCTGATGCCTGTTATTTCATTGTTTCTAATTTTGTTTTTCAGAAAAACTTTGTGATTCAAGAAAGCCACCATGAAAGGTGAGGAAGTCCGGCAGAGGAAAAAAGAGGGCAGGACAAAGAATGGAGAACGATCCAGGCACAAAGGAAAGAGCAAGGGTAAACACAGAGAGAGGCGACTTGGCAGCCAGGAGGCAGAGGATGTCTCTCCACCTGGACCACAAAAGCTGTTGGCTGAGGAGAAAGTGGACATGGCAAAGTCACCAGAAGAGTCAGGCACCACAATTTGCCTGCAGGTGCTCCTGCCATACCTGCTAGCTGGGCTTGGCATGGTCTTGGCAGGCATGGTTTTGGATTACGTTCAGGTAAGGGAAAGGAACTGATCTGATGTACCCAGGACGGGATAGGGGGAGGACTTTTCTTTAGAGGTAGGGGATTTACTCTGGGGATAGCAAAGTAAAGGAGGATTTGAAGCAGTTTCATATGCTAAAACGTCCTTTAAAGTCAGCTATTGTCTACATTTGTGCAGCTCTCAGAAGACAGTACTAGTGTTTTTCTGGCCTTCATTCTTATCTGGAAAGAAAAGATTACATGGTACTAAAGAGCACTTGAAGGATACGAGGCATCTATGTAGAAAGGTGCAGCCCTGTGCAGAGAGATTTGAACTTGGTCCTGGGAGAAGAGTGGCTGAGTTGCAGCCCCATGGGCTGAAGTGGCACAGTGCTTTTCTGCAGTAGGTAAAACTGTATCACTCTGGGGTGCTGGCTCTGGAAAGTTCTGCATGCCCTGCTTCATTGCACAAGGAGCCAGCCAGCCCCACAGTGTTAATGCTTCACACCACCAGCCCAGCCTATGTACCACTTCCTTTTCCAAGGCCTTGTAGCTGATGATTAAAATCCTTGAATCTTCTTCCAGTCCTACCTCTGATTCTGTGACAGTCAGGACCCAACCTTTCCTGTGGTGCAGCAACACAGAGCTTTAAGGAAGTGGGGAGCACCTAATTTTAGACAGTTTAAAGCTGCAATTAATTTCCAGTTTATAAATTGTTGTGCCTTTCTGCTCTAGGTGACTCACTGCTGTGTGCCTTCTTGTTAACCCTTGTTATCTGACTAGCTGGCTATTGGGTCAGACTGCCCTGACCTACCTGATACAGTGACACTGAAACCATGGTGCTGGCACTGACAGCTTTCACAGATCTGGAGCTGTGTTCTGCTACTGGCCCTGAGCTGATCTCCTTAAACTAGGAGAGCCATAAAGGCTTAAGGGTAACACAGTGTCCTTAGCTGACCTTAGCATGTACTCAATACCCAGAAGAATGTCTAATCAGATCAAAAAACATTGAGGCACATCCAGAACCCAGTGGCAAACTCCTTTTTGTCTTCACAGATGTTATTGTGAGAGTCTTGAGCCTTGAGCAGCCACTTTCACTTTTATTTTTCCAACTGCTCAGACCTGCCTATTCCTATGGATCTTTGCCATAAAGTGCATGTTACCTTCTATTGTGAGATATTAAAACATGAAGTAGTTTGCAGATGGGTTTGTGATGTTGGAGGAGTGCTTTTCTTTCAATATTCTTCCCTTAGAGTATTTTTTTTTCCTAGGAAGTACTAGGCCACTAATACAAACAGACTGTGAAGCAAACCTCATAGTACTGTGAAACCACAGAGTCTGGTTTCTGTTTTATGCAAATGAAGAGCTCAACAAAGAGCTTTCATGTTAGTGCTTAGAGCCTGGGAAATCAACCCATGCAACATCTCATAGGAAAAACAGGCCTTTGGCAACTCACAGAGTGACTTTTCATGCATGATCCTGGACTGCTTGAGCATGTCTTATTGTAGACTCACTGCTACTAGGAACTGCCCTTCCTTTCTAAGCCAGTCCTGGCCTCTGCCCCTGCTGCTGTTTCTGTGGGGTGGCTTTGGACCACGGGCACTCTCCATAAGCTTGCTCTCAGTCCTCCCACATAAACTCTTCTCTTTCCTAAAGTGAGGAGGAGAGGAGCAAGGTAGGGAACAGAAGAAATACACAGCCTGATCTGACAGAAAACTAGCAGAGTTAGAAGTGATAGCATTCCACCAACTGGGATGTGTGGTGCCTGATATTGTCCTCCCATGAATCTAAGGTACCAGAACAGTGCTGCCTGTTGCTAACACTGCCATGTTACAAGAGTGCTCATTGGCATCCCTGTCCCTTCTTTGCAGGGATGATAAGGTACGTCTGAAACTGTACTCCTTGGCACTTCTTCCTATTCTTTTCTTTTGTGCTGTGCCATTGGGTGGAGGCCCAATATCAGGGCCCACCCAAGAGGCTGTTTCTGCTTTAGCTCCTCCAAGGCATTACTACCTGCTGGCTAGTTTGCAAGCATGGGGATACGGTGCATTTGTGTGCAGAGGAGGGCAGCAGTGTAGCTCCCCAGGGTTTGTCATGATGAGTGGCATAGCCATGAGACATTTGATGCTGTGGGGTTTTTTCCCCAACTAGTTATAATCTTCATCCCTCTGTTTAACAGAGCTCTCTCTCCTCTCAAACTTGATGCTTCTCTTTGTGAACAAATATGGTGTAACTCTGCCAGGAAAATATGATGTATCTCTTTGCTGATAAATATGGTGTGGATCTTTATCAGAGGCTCCTTAATTGCATAATAAAATGATCCAGTGTGTACACAGGTCACCTGAAACAATTATTTTCTCTACCTACTGATTCATCAATTGAAGACTTTTTATGGTGCTTGCTTAGAAACAGAGAGAAGAGTGATAACCTCATAAACACTGCCAGGCTGATGCTTTAGTACAGGATGTGTTGCTGCTGGGTTTTTTTTTAATGGCATTTGAGTCATTGAGGCTCATTAATGTTTCCTTTACATTAATGTTTCTCCCTGTCAGCAATCCAGTTGGCAGATACAATGGCATATGGGACTTGGTATGCACATTATCAGACCTTTGAAAGCCTGTGGTAGTTATCCAGAGATTCTCCTTTATTTTCTTGAAGCCTCTGTGAGTTTCTAACCAGAATTGGTCTTCATGCTGTTACTTCTCAGTTCCTGCCTGGGATAAAGAGGTTGGGTAGTGAGTGATTATTACAGGATTTTTATTAACTTCCTTCTTCCAGCTATTGTGGACTTTTTTTTCCAGATAGATTAGCTAAAATGTATTCTCTTGTTAGCTTTCAGCTAACCAGACCATTGTTATGTGGAAAAGACACATGTACACACCGAGGCAGCTGGCAGGAGAGGTTTCAGGGGCTGTATCAGAATATCAACCTAGAAAGCAGCCAAGGACAGGGTGTCCCATCTGTAGCCAGGGCTTATTTTCTACCCTACCATGCTTGCACAGAGATCTGTGGTGCCATCTCAACCCATTAGGCTTTGTCCTTTGCTTTGTGTGAATTCGGACCAAAAGAAAGACACCATCCAGATGGCTGAAAACTTCCTCAGTTCCCTGTTTGTCTTTAAGCTGGGGACAATGTCACAAGGGCAGAGAAAGGAAAGCAGCCCCAGCAGAATACCCCTACTCCCTTTTCCCGTGTGCATGACTTTGAGCTGAAGAATAGACTTCAGTCTTCACTCAGCAGAATATAAATTCTTTGGCTGTATGTGGCCATGATGCAGCTGTGATTCTTGAGCATCTGTCAGCTATTTGACTATGGAGACTCTAGGGTGAGACCCCCTCTGTCAAAGACAGTATCTTTCTGGAAATGTACAGAAGCAAGAGTGTTTCTCCTTAGGACAGGAAGGGAGGCCAGCTCACAGAAACCTTCACCCTTTCTTTCCCTTGCCTGCAGTGTAGTGAGATTACGGAGCTACCTTAAATAAGCTCTGGCTATGACTCTTATCTTGGCCTTTGCAAACTAGCAGAAAGTTGAAGTGATGACAGCAGATAAGGCTGTTCGCTTTTGAAGCTTATTGGCTGGTTCTCTTGATGTTTTTTTTTGCCCCTGAAAGCCAGCCATTCAGAGGTGCAGCTGGCATAGACGGATCCTACATCCTGCAGAGACCATGGAGGGGACAGGAGGGGCTGGGGTCTAGAAGAGAGAAGATCACCAGCCAGCTCAGCTGTGTCACTTGCTGCAGAGACCTACGCAATGTTGTCAGCCTTGAGAAACGCAGGCTCATGTTTTCCTTGACCTTTCTTCACCTTGAGGGGGAGCAAAACAGATCCTGGTTGTTAACCACCCACCTCCTCAGCCTTGGGACAAGTGAGAAAAATTCAACGTTGCTTATGGTGGGAGTAAGGGAACTGGGGCTGGTTCACAGCAGGCTTACATATTAAACCATCGTATCAAAGGCGAGCCGCCCTCTGACAAGAAGTGTAACCTGAGGAGAAAGGACACCAGAGCGTTTGAGCACGCTGAGGGATTCTTGCATGACCTGTCACTCTTTCAGTGTTGTAGCCTGAGCAGGTCTTACTGGTTTTTACCGAGGTGGTGGGAGCTGAATGGGGTGTGAGCTCGTTTCTATTCGTCCACATACACCTCTGCAATATTTTTTTCTCTTTTTTCATTCCCCCCTGGATATAACTTGGAGAAATAGTGTCCGTCAAGTTTGCTGCCACCTGGGCTCAACACAGCTGAATCAATTTTGGAGGAAACCGTTGCTGCAACCCTCTGGTCGTGCTCCTAGGAGGAGAAGAAGCTGAAGCAATTTGGCATCATTGCTATAGTTTCAGGAAAAAACTTTTCTTCTGACTTTAGAGACAGTTACCAGGAGCATCTGTCTGATGTCTTAATCTCCCTCCATTTCCCTGATGAGCATGGGGTAATGGTGTTTGACCATGGTGGTCACCCAGTTACAATTAGAACTGTGCTTCCACGGCAAGAAACTGAGAGGTTTCACCTGCAAGTTGACCAGGTCAGCCAGTGGATTTCTTCCAGAGACTTCATTCTCCATTGCTTCTCAGATTTTTGTGCCATTCCTTCTGGCTGGTTTGGGCATGGTAGCTGCTGGCCTCTTGATGGATGTTGTTCAAGTAGGTACATGTGTTTAGGTGACTTTGTAGTGAGAGGGTGGGCTATGTCACTGACCTTGAATTTGTGTGGTTTTGTTTTTAATGTGTGTGGTCCCAGCAGCCAGCCAGCAGGATGGCTGTAGGCTTTTCCTGTGCTACAGAGACACTATCCATCTTCTTTAATTTGGCACATGGGATCCTTGTAATGTGGGATAGTGTCTTTCAGACAGGCTGCCTGATGCTGCCCTTGGTGCATTCGACTCAGTGCTCCCTTTCCTGTATCTGGCTACACACTTTGGTGACGGCTGCTGTGAAGCAACTGGGATCAGACTGTGGCATATCACCCTACTGGTAGATATTATTTCTTTCCTTCAAAAATTGCTGATAAGGGGATCTAGGTCAAGATTGTTATTAACTACCTGTCTCCCTTAGAGGTAAGTTTGTGCTTTCAGTTCTTTGCAAACAACCTCATGTAATCTTTGGTCTAGAAGGCATTTAGATACTGTGATGAGAGGCATGCCAGTATAAAAAGATTAGCGTTGTCTACAAACTGAGTGCTTCTTGGCCAGATTCTGAAGTGGGTGTAAATTTGGAATAACTTCCATTGACTTTCAAAGAATGCTGCTGGATTTACACCATTGTGCCCACAACCAGAATCTACCCCATCTGTCTTTCCTTTGTACCAGTGATGCAAATAGAAATGCAAAATTTGATTTCGTTTGGGCATCTCGTGCCAGTGGATTTACAAATGAAAAGGCTGGCAGAGCTTCCCAAGGATATATCCTGCACTCTGAGCTCACTGGAGTACATTGGATTCTCTGGCATTAGTACCACAGCAGGAGCTAAATATGGATACTTGAGTGTTTGGAAAGACAATACCTTGCTGTTTTTTCTTGCATTGGAAGAAGAAAAGACAGCAGAGAAGCTGAATTAAGGGGAATATGGGGAATATCAAAGAAGGGTTAACTGGAGTGGCACACACTGTTGCTGCACTGTTTGTCGTCTCCACCTTGCTTAGGCACAGACCCGTCTTGCAGCATTACAGAAGTTCTCAAACTACCCAAGATGTGTTAATAGTTAGCAGTTATCTTTGGTCAAGTGTCTTGCACAAGGGCATAGATATTATACATACCTGCTCCATACCCTTGGCAGGTGAATAGGTCTTTGTCTAAAAGATATTGAACACGATTGCTAAGAACTGGGCTCTGTTAAAAAACACAAGCCATGTATACTTATGTTGCATGTGCCCTTTAAATACCAGAATGCAGTCTACTTTGTGTATTTGTTTGCTAGACTCTTAGAAATACCATCATGCATGGAGTACAATAACAGGAGATGTATTTTTTGGTGAAGGTGTTTCCAAGTTGAAAAAGAAGCCATTAGTCAGTGGCTTCAGCTCCCAGAGGAGGGAGCTAGAGCATTGGGAGTCACAACTGACAGTAGAGATGTTTGTCAAGTAAGCTGCCATGGTATCAACAACTCTGGATTTAAAACAAAACCAGTAGCTGTGACAATCTGGAGATCTTAGCCTTTAAAGGTCTGGCTTATCCTTCCATGTCTTTTTGTCTTTGAGCTGCTTATTTTCAGCTTTTCTTCCTGAAAGTATGAGAGGTAGAAACTTGCTGTCCTGTCTAACTAAAGCCTGACTCTTAAGTTTGTTTACTTGAGGCCAGGTACCATAAGACTCATATTGGTAATCATGAAGGCTCACACTGCTGAAAATAAAGTTTTTCTAGTCCAGGAGTCTGTGATTTGCCCATTCTTCAGGAGTGGTCTGACTGAGGAACACTTGGACTTATTTGTAGTCAGTGCAAAATATTCTTAGGAAACTCTGTGTCTGCCTTTGGCAGGGAGATGTATAGGCAAGCTCAAGGATGGTATCTAGAGCATATGTGAGAGTTTAATGGTGCTGCCCTTGTTTTGTTGCAAAATATAGAAAGTATATAGAAAAGTATATAGAAAATAATCACCAGAGATTTGTCTAGCCTGGTTGACTCCAAGGCTCAGCTTGGGTCTCTCATACTGTAATAAACATGCCCAAAGAAGTAGCCATTTGCCATTTTCTCTTCTTGACTGTGCAGATGATGCAGTCTGTGCAGAGCTGGTAACATGGCATGGGTCTTTTCTTGCTGGACATTTGCACCTCTACTCCAGTGATCCTTGGCCTGCTGGTCGATCTGGATTCAGGGCTGGCTGGCCTCGTGGGGGACCTTGCAGGGCCCTGCCAGGGTTTGGGGGAAGAATCAGATGGAAGCTGGACGATAGGATTTCAAACCAGAGAATTCAGGAGGAAAGCTTCCCTTTCATTCTCCCCTCCCACACCACTGCAGTGGGAGACAGTCCAAATAAAAGCCACAGAGATAAGATATCTCTGTCCTTTGTAGATAAAAGCATAGAACAGGATTTTGAATTGGCTTGTGTTTTATAGGCTGGGATCTTTTGATCCTTCTGTTGTCTCATTCAGGGCAATGGAAAACCTCTAAGATTTCTTTAGCTGCTGCCATGGGAGGATGGATGCCCTGGAGAGGTAACAGGACATGGTTGGACTGTGAGGACAGTGTAAGGATGGACAGTGGGGCTCGACTGCAGCTGGAGAGTCTATCTCAGTACACCATAGCCTCTCTTCCTCTACAGGACCCCGTGAGCAGATCCTGGCACAGGGACCAGCTGCAGTGGATCAAGGAGTAACCAAGTTTCTTCAGAGCTCAGCTTTAAGGCTGTAACACCTTTATGGGGATGTGAAGTGGGAGTCTCTTTCTGGTTTAGTGTCCCTGTGTGGGTTTGCAAGGAATGTTTCTGTTCCTTCTAGGCCAGTTTTCAGCTAGAAGGACAGAGATGCTTCATTCAGGCAGCTCCTTGCATGCACAGCTCTAACCTGCCACATTCACCTGCTCCTCCAGCTGACAGTCCTGCAAGGTGACAGCATGGAGATCATCTGTTTATTCTGTATTTCGGCAGTTTCTGACACAACAGGGTCTTGGCTACTCTGGTATAAATCATTCTGAATCTGTCCTCAGGCTCTTGGTGAGTCACTAGTGAGACTCAAATGGAGACAATCAAGTCAGGGTTCTTTATTAGTGCAGTTGTGTGACTCTCTGTTAATTGTGCAAAGCCTTTCAGTGTAATTCTATGTAAGGCAGAGTCCTAAAAAATCATTCTTTATTTCCTGAAACTTCTGTTATGATGGCTTGAGACTTGCAAAATTCACCATGAATAAAAATATTGGAGCTTATGTTCATGTAACAGAGTCATATTTCCCAAAGGTGGCCCGCACAGAAAACAGGAACAGTTGAGTTTTTCTGTTGCTTTTTTATCTATCTGTCTGTCTGTCTATCTATCTATCTATCTGCAAAATATGCATGGTCTTAAATATGAATGTCTGCACACCTGTGTAGTTCAAATGACTGGAGTTTTTTACATTGTGGCTATGAAATCTGTTTTTTCTCCTCTTTCTTTTGAAGGTGTCAAATATGTATTTAGGTCTTTATTCTTAATTAAAGAGACAGGAGAGATAGGGATTTGAATCTTTAAGAGAGATGCCTGCCTCTGGCTTCTCAGGAATTTAAGTTCCATTGTAGTGTGTACAAACAAAATCTCAGTGTGTCAAATAAGGTGACTGTTCTTGGGTTGTCTGTTATTTACTCAACAGTAAATAATCTACCTTTAACTTTTTGAAATGTGCCTTTTCCTAGGTCATCACTGCAAGGAAATGTGCCTTTTTGGCATTGGTAATAATGTTTTGTCCATTATGTGCACCTCTGAGGGATGTCTTGCACCACGCGCTCAGGGCTGAATCACCCCCACTTTCATTCACCCTGGCTCAGAAGGAAGCTGTGAGGTCCTCCCAGCAGGTGGCCACACCATTGGCTTCCCACAGCTTCCCAAGGCACAGGCAGACCAAAACACCGTCAGCACGCCCTGTGTGTATTTCACAACAGGCTGACAGCTGAATGTGTTGACATTTTCCAAGTCTGCCCAACCTCCTGGATTTTCAAGTGTATGGAATCCTAATGGATGTGAAGAAGATGGGAAGGGATCTGTTGTTCCTTTTGTCCTCTAGTGCCAGAATTCGTGACTGTCACATGATACTCCCCAGTGACAAGTTAGAAGAACTAATGAACAAGTTGATCCTTCACATCATGTACAGCTAAATGATGGAAATTTTTGCCACAGGATAGCATGTGGGTTGGAGGGGGGAGATTAAATGAGTATCTAAAGGAGAAATCCTTTGGACACTGGTAAGTGTGCAGAAACATCCCACATACATACCCCCCCCC